ATTTAGAAAAACGAGAACAATCGAAATCCAAAGTTAGCAGATGGAAAGAAATAATTAAGTTCAGAGCACAACTAAATGAAATAGAAACCTGAAAAACTACAAAAGATCAATAAACAAAAAGTTGGTTTTTTGAAATGATAAATAAAATCAACAAACCATTAGCAAGGCTAACTAAGAAAAAGAGAGAGAAGATCCAAATAACAAAAATTACAAATGAAAAAGGTGATATTACAACTGACACCTCAGAAATACAAAAAATCATTAGAGACTATGATAAACAACTATATGCCAACAAGTTTGAAAATCTGGAGGAAATAGATAATTTTCCGGACACACACAAACTACCAAAACTGAGCCAAGAAGATGTGGGAAAAACTGAACAGACCAATAACAATAACAGAGATTGAAGCTGTTATCAGAGGTCTCCCAACAAAGAAAAGCCCAGGACTGGACCAGTGCACTGCAGAGTTCAACTAAACCTTCAAAGAGGAATTGATACCAGTTCTCTACAAACTATTCCAAAAGATTGAAACAGAGGCCATTCTCCCAAACTCATTCTATGAAGCAAACATCATCTTGATACCAAAACCAGGCAGATACAGCAAAAAAAGAAAACAACAAGCCGATATCCTTGATGAATATAGATGCAAAAATCCTCAACAAAATACTAGCTAACTGATTACAGCAACACTTACACAAAATTATACACCATGATCAAGAGGGATTCATCCCAGGGATGCAAGGTTGGTTCAACATATGCAAATCAATGAATGTGACACACCACATCAATAAAAGCAAAGGCAGAGACCATATGATCATCTCTATAGATGCTGAAAAAGCATTTGACAAAATTCAACATTCTTTCATGATAAAGACTCTCTACAGTTTAGGTATAGATGGAAAGTATCTCAACATAATTAAAGCCATATAAGATAAGCCCACCATCAATATCATCCTGAAAGGGGAAAAGCAGAAAGCTTTTCCCATAAGAACAGGAACTAGACAAGGATGCACACGCTCACCACTCCTATTCAACATAGTGTTGGATGCATTAGCCAGAGCAATCAGAGAAGAGAAGGAAATAAAGGGCATCCAGATGGGAAAAGATGAGGTCAAACTGTCCCTGTTGGTAGGTGACATGATCCTATATATCAAACAGCCTAAAAAAACTCTTGGAGCTGATAAATGATTTCAGCAAAGTTGCAGTATACAAAGTCAACACACAAAAATCAGTTCTATACTCCAACAGTGAATATGCAGAATAAGAAATCAAGAAAGCTAGCCCATTTACAATAGCCACCAAAAAAATAAAATACTTAGGAGTAAAGTGAACCAAGGATGTGAAAAATCTCTACAATGAGAACTACAAACCACTGTTGAGAGAAATGAAAGAGGACACAAGAATATGGAAAGATATCCCATGCTCTTGGATTGGAAGAATTAACATTGTGAAAATGTCCATACTACCAAAAGTGCTCTACAAATTTAATGCAGTCCCCATCAAAATTCCAATGACATTTTTCTCAGAAATGGAAAAAACTATCCAGACATTTTTATGGAATAACAAAAGACCATGAATAGCCAAAGCAATTCTGAGCAAAAAGAAAGCTGGAGGCATGACACTATGTGATTTTAAACTATACTACAAAGCTATAATAACCAAAATAGCATGGTACTGGCATAAAAACAGACACACAGATCAATGGAATAGAATAGAGAATCCAGAGATCATCCCACACACCTATAGCCATCTGATCTTTGACAGAGGCACCAAGTCGACACAATGGGGAAGCGACTGCCTCTTCAACAAATAGTGCTGGGAAAACTGGATATCCATATGCAGGAGAATGAAACTAGACCCACATCTCTCACCATATACCAAAATCCACTCAAAATGGATTAAAGAATTAAATATACACCCTGAAACAATAAAACTCCTTAAAGAAAACATAGGGGAAATACTTCAGGAAGTAGGATTGGGGACAGACTTCATGAATATGACCCCAAAAGCACAGGCAACCAAAGGAAAAATAAACAAATGGGATTACATCAAGCTAAAAAGCTTCTGCACAGCAAAAAACCCCACCTGAGTGAAAAGACTACCAACAGAGTGGGAGAAAATATTTGCAAAATATACATCTGACTAGGGATTAATATCCAGAATATACAAGGAACTCAAACAACTTTACGCAAAAAAAGAAGGAAACCAATTAAACAATGGGCAAAGGAGCTGAATAGGCATTTCTCAAAGGAAGATATATGAATGGCCAACAGACACATGACAAAATGCTCAACATCACTCAGCATTAGGGAAATGCAAATCAAAACCGCACTGAGATACCATCTCACCCCAGTTAGGATGGCTAATATCCAAGACTGAGAATGATAAATGCTGGTGAGGGTGCAGAGAAAAGGGAAGCCTCCTATACTGCTGGTGGGACTGCAAAATTGTGCAGCTTTTATGGAAAATGGTATGGAGCTTCCTCAAACAATTACAGACAGATCTACCATATGACCCAGCTATTCCACTGCTGAGAATATACCCAGAGGAATGGAAATCATCATGTCCAATGTTCATCGCAGCACTCTTTACAATAGCCAAGAGTTGAAACCAGCCCAAATGTCCATCATCAGATGAGTGGATATGGAAACTGTGGTCTATCTACACAATGGAATACTACTCAGCTATAAAAAAGAATGATATACTGCCACTTGCAGCAATATGGATGAACTTAGAAACAATCATATTAAGTGAAATAAGTCAGGCACAGAAAAAGAAATACCATGTGTTCTCACTTATTTGTGGGAGCTAAAAAATAAATAAATAAATACACAAACAAATGGGGGATTGGGAAAGAAGACACAACAATCAAAATTCCTTGAACTTGTTAAGACAGGTGAACAGATATGTTGATGGTGGGGGGAGGGAGGAATCGGTAAAGGGACACAAAAATCACCTATGTTTTATATTGATTAAGAAAAAAAATAATAATAATCAAAAACTTCCCAACAAAGAAAAGCCCAGGATTAGATTGCTTTATGCAGAATTCTACCAAACATTTAAAGAAAAATTAACATCAATTCTTCTCAAATATTTTCAAAATATTGGAGAGGAGTCAACACTTCCAAACTCATTTTAGGAGGCTGGCATTACCCTGATCCCAAAGCCAGACAAAGACACAGCAAGAAGAGAAAACTGCAGACCAATATCTATGGTGAATTTTGATGCAAAAATCATCAACAAAATACTAGCAAACAGAATTCAACAGCACATTTAAAGGATTACACACCATGAACAGGTGGAATTTATTCCTGGAATACAGTGTTGGTTCAATATTCAAAAATCAATCAATGTAATGCACTGCATTAACAGAACAAAGAAGAAAGTTCCATGATCATCGCAATAGATGCAGAAAAAGCATTTGGTAAGAAAGAGAAAGGGAAGGCATTGGCCCAAGCAACTGAGAAGTCACTGATTCAACAACCAAGTGACACCATGGAG